AAATTGGATTCCAACACCGATCATGGAAATACCCGCTACAGTTCGAGGACACGAATGCGCATCAAGAAACGTGCACAAAAACACTCGCTACAAAAGATACGCACATAAGTAAAAGTACAAAATCATGCACAAAATTACTCACGCAAAACTGCATTCGCAAAAAGGATTATGAAAACACAAACTACAATCCTAGGACATTAATACAAATCAACAAACATGCACAAACACACTCGCTCAAATGGACATGCACAAACATACATGTAAAAAAACATGCGCAAAAGTGCATTCGCAACAACGTTCTTAAAAACACGAAGTATAACACTAGGAGTTTAATGCGCATAACCAAACAACTGCAAAAACAAAAGATACAAAAGATACGGTGGAGTGTAGAAATAACACTCAACGTTTACGTTTACGTGGATTTTTTTATGGATTAATTTATATTTCTGTTTTAATTTATGGATTTAGTACTCTATAGGTACAAATTGATAATTAGGTGTCCATGAAGCAAAAATGATCAAAGAGTAAGAAAAGAGTTGCAATTAGGAAAATAAAATCAAAATAGAAGAGAGGATCCCTCAACATCTTCGGTAGTGCCCACGAAATCGAGCATAACTTTCTCATCCGGACTCCAAATCAACTGGTTCCAGCGGCATTAGAAAGCTATTTCAGCTGCTTACAATTCCTGTCTAATGTCAAATTTCCAAATTCGGACTCGAACATGGTCAAAATTGGATTCCAACAGCGATCATGAAAATACCCGCTACAGTTCGAGGACACGAATGCGCATCAAGAAACGTGCACAAAAACACTCGCTACAAAAGATACGCACATAAGTAAAAGTACAAAATCATGCACAAAATTACTCACGCAAAACTGCATTCGCAAAAAGGATCATGAAAACACAAACTACAATCCTAGGACATTAATACAAATCAACAAACATGCACAAACACACTCGCTCAAATGGACATGCACAAACATACATGTAAAAAAACATGCGCATAAGTGCATTCCCAACAACGTTCTTAAAAACACGAAGTACAACACTAGGACTTTAACGCGCATAACCAAACAACAGCAAAAACACAAGATACAAAAGATACGGTGGAGTGTAGAAATAACACTCAACGTTTACGTTTACGTGGATTTTTTTATGGATTAATTTATATTTCTGTTTTAATTGGTGGATTTAGTATTCTATAGGTACAAATGTATAATTAGGTGTCCATGAAGCAAAAATGATCAAAGAGTACGAAAAGATTTGCAATTAGGAAAATAAAATCAAAATAGAAGAGAGGATCCCTCAACATCTTCGGTAGTGCCCACGAAGTCGAGCATAACTTTCTCATCCGGACTCCAAATCGACTGGTTCCGGCGG